CCAATTTTCAAAAAAATCCCGGGGAGGACCCCCGGACCCCCCCCCCCCCTCTCACAATTTCACCGCACCAATATTAAACTGCTTCCTACGCCCCTGAAGTTCACATATTTTTCTTTACTGCACATAGTGATGCACAGCTATCTCAGTTTACCAAATACATGTACACACACACACACACACACATAAACACACAACATGTACACACACACGTAAACACAAACACGTACACACGTATTGCTGGCTTACCACTGGTGGTCGCTGAGCACATGCACAGCGCTGCGCGACTGAAGCAGACGGTAACTGTGCGCAAGAAAGCAGCAGGGGTGTAACATGCCAGATAAGCACATAAACAATACACACAGAAATGCCACCAAGACTTAAATAATACGGTTTGCTCCGGGACTGTATGTCGTCCTGTTGAAATACAGACAGGAATGCCACTGTTTGCTCCAGGACTGTATCTCATCCTGTTGACACTCTGAGTGGATTCTCAACGTTGACACTTCTTATACACGAACACAATTTGGGCGTGAAACCGACCATGTCCTGGCTGAACACAGCACATGGTGCAGTGCTCGGTACACTGTCATAAGCCAGTGCGTGCACACCGCACATTGCGCATGCGTTGCACCGTTACCACTGTGACCCGGTGTGGGTCATTGCAGCAGATGCGACGTCGCGCCCGTGGAGACAAGAGGAAAACAGATGTTGCAACGGCGGCGCCGATACCCGGTTTGCTAAGTTTCCCGATGCTTTTGTGCCAGACTGCAAGGCCATTGCGTCACAATCAACTGCGGACGGGAGCACGTTGGAAAACTACTAACCACTTGCAGGTGTGACTTGATCATTGTGATGCTCATTTCTCAAGCAGGGTCGTACATGTCCTAGTACTCGCAGTCACTGCACCTACATGTGGCCTACAACACTGCACGTGATCTTTGCAGAACTGGGTTTTGTCAGATTGTGAGCATTTATTTATTTTTATTTTATTTCCTTTGGGGGGATACAGAAATCCACGAAAAACCTCATAATCAGCCGTGGTTGGCTTTCACCCCCTCCACTTTGATTGGCAATTACATGCTATGGGATGTGGAATAAATAAATAAATAAAATAAATAATCACGTGCAATGATGATAGCACTGATACACGTTACTGTAGTGTTACCATGCTCCTTGCCTTCAACTACGACTCGTACAGTATCATTCAAAATACCAGTAATCCACTGAGTGGATACTACTGTACTAATGTTTCTCAGGATCATCGAAACGCAAGGACTGGAAATTTGAGAGAAGTCTATTGGACAAAAGCATAGTCACAGTCTCCAATGTAGCACAGCACAGCACACAGAACATAACACAGCTACGGTCCAGCATCATGGGATACACTGAGCAGCTTATGATGTACTCCTGCCATCACTGATCAATTCTAAATCAATTCTAAAATTTATTGAGAATGCTGGGGAGATTTCCCAACCAAATAGTTTGAAGATAGCTTACACGAGAGGCAAAGGAACGCAACATCGGTGGCTGCTTCGAGAGGCACACTAAGATTCCGAGCAGATACTGTCCAGCAGTCACATTTGCACCAGGCACTTCAGAAATTGAACCACTGTTACTCAACCACAGATGCACATGGAGATTTTGAGCACAAACAAAAATTGTAGAAACTTTGAAAGACGGAAACTGGTCTAAACACTTCGTCGGCATGCACGTGTCTGCAAATCTACAAGGCTATGCACATGATCCAACTCTGCAAATAATGACGCAATCAGCGGGTGCACGGTCGTAGATCTACGATCGGTACGATCGACTGGATCATGGACTATGTAGACTAGCCTAGGGAGTCGTCAAATACCGGTATTTGACGACTAGACTCCAGCCATGCATGCCATGCCCTGGATCATGGATCGGACTGGACTAGCACGCGCATGTGCGCACGTGCACGTGCTACAGTGCATTTCAAAACTATAGACGCGTAGGGTTTTTGAAATATTTCAAATTTGGCTGGAACTTTTTGAGAATAGTTTTCGGAATATTGCTCAGGATCGCTCCACAATTACTCTCATATAGTTTCTAAAGGATTGGATAACAGACGCCCAATTTGGAAAAATTTATGCACAAAGTGATCACAGATTTTATGTGGTATAGATGCTGGCATAACGGTTTTTGCCTAGGTACGCGTCTATAGTTTTGAAATGGAGTGTAGTACAGTGAAACCTTTCTAAGGCGACCGCTCAAGGGACCTAACACCTTCAAAATGCGGTCGCTGAGTACAGGTGGTCTCCTTATCCAGGGTCATTTGAAATATCACCCTTGGGTTCTAGCAAGAGTACCGTAAGCAGGGGCGTCGGAAGGTATTTTAGTGTGGTACGGTCAGCCATCTGAAGTACAATTTACTCGTGGGGGAGGGGTCGCTGTGCCGAAAGTCTTGGAAATTTAGAGCCCAAATCAGTGCATTTTATTGATTTAGAAAAGCGATCCTGTCAGCTTTTCTATTATTGTGTTCACATGGCAGAAAAAACGACATCGCTATGCTACGTAAGTTTCTACGTAAGGTGCTCGGTATTTCACTTAGGCTACGTAATATTCTACGTAAGGTGCTCGGTATTAATCTACCAACGCGTGGTAGCCGCGTGCTGTGCACGCGCACGTGCACGGCAGACATTGTGTTGCAGTGCAGTCCGTTTTCGGATGTGCATGCGCGAGGAACTTTCTTCTTTGGAACTGCTTCTTGCATGAGCTGTTTCGGATATTTCGTCTCCTGGCTTATTTCGCTTTGGCTCTGCTGAGACCTCCTTTCACGGAATATTACTCAGGTGAGTCGACCAGTTCCTTTGATTCATTTGCTTGTGTTGACTCTTTCATTTACCAAAAGTGTGCTGATTTTAGGTGGATTTTAGGTGGAATACAATAAATAATGGAAAAGCTGACAGGAACTGTTTTCTAAATTTAGCTTTTCTGCTGTATTCCTTTTACGGAATACTCAATGACAGGTGATCTCTGAGTTGACCAGTTTCCTTCGATTCATTTGCTTATGCTCACCCTTTCATTTACGGAAACGTGTGCTGATTTTATTCGGATTTAGATCCATTCGTATCTCTTTGCCCTTGCCAACAGTGTGCGAAGAACGCGAATTCACCTTCTTGACGGTAAGGCTTACATGTATGTTGTATGTTGCTGCTGAGGCTTAGATGTGTTGTCGAAATACTCATGTTAATTGTACATTGGTACGTTACAAGTAAGGCACTGGTCATGATTGCTTCCGGCATTCCGTGCTCCGATCATAGGGTAGAATCTGAATTTTGCAGTGGCATAGCATCGTTGGCATTTCCCAATCTGGGGGGGGGGGGAAGCATTGGCCGAGTATGCAAAATAAATTCGTATATCAGGGAAAATCTCCATTTAAATCTCCATTTAATTTTAATATGGAGAGGTTCATGCATTCAGTGACTTGTTTGCTTCATACGAAACAAGCCAATGGGTGCAGTCTCGTCTCTTGAAAATCTCGTACGATTGGATTTGTTTACTCGAGTCTGGGCTGTTTGATTTGTGAGTCGCGCCGGGATTGCACTGCCCCAAATAAAGTTGCGTGCCGGCAGAGCAAGAATTACGATCGGCAATCTGTTTGTAGTACCTGCAAGAATGTGCTGTACATGTATCGTATTTTCTCTGTTGTTGTTTCAATTGCCGTCATGTTCCTAAAGAAAGGTTCAGTGACTCATTTGTTTCACACAAGACGAGTCAATGGTTTGGTCTGACTTAGAATCTTTCGCTGTAGAATAAATATATTCGTGTCTCTATTGGAGAAATAATTGTATTCACTGGTTATAAAATAGGGTTAAAACAAACTCACAGAACAAAATTAATACCATCGGTCCCTTGATGTTCGTCCTAAAGAGGTTTGACTGGATATCATTCATACTCACCAAAGACATGTAACATTTTATTATTATGGAGTGCCTTGTTTATCTCTCAGTACCTCCAACTATATATCCTTGCCCCTTACAATATCCTCAGGATCAGTGTAGTTGTTGGAACGAGGTGTCAGACTCAACAATGTATTTGTTTACATATTAATACATGTTTATTGTTCCTACTTTGCTGTGTTGTTTTAGACAATCGTGGACTTGTAGCACTTTGAAGTCATTGAACTACATGTACTTCCAAAAGTTTTATCGACATCAACAGGATTACGATTTCAGTACAATAAGATGCAGGATGACCTTATCACGACAACCCATGACTACCATAAACACAGAATCAAGAAAAACATCTGCGGCACGCACCTGGTTACAATTCTCAAGTAAATGTGATTTAGGGGCCATCCGTAATTATCGATCTTTTTCACGAAACGAAAAAGTTTAGTTATGACCCACCCCCACCCACCCACCCCCCTGAAACGAAAAAATTAATTGACTTGAGACTTTGTGCAGAAAATGATCTTGATTGGCTGTTACATGTACAACACAGCGAGGCCACATTTTGTGTGATTGTGCAAGTAACAACGTTAGTCATGTTTTCTTGGAAGTCTGGTACTACTTCTTGACCATGGAAACATTTATTTTCACCTACCACACACATACATGTACGCTGCTGGCACCTCTACACCTCTAACACGGGAATTGTACATTTGCAAATCGTCAGAGTTTCGACATTGACATGATACTGCCAAAACAAGTCGACTTCGGAGCGGAAACAAAAGCCATAGCTATCACAGACTTCAGTGGTCGTGCCTCGCTCGCAAATGAGAGCAGCATTGCCCCAGAATCGCTGTCGGAAAGCTCCGTAAGGTCGCACGCACGCCGCGCTGCGCTGCCGTCAATCAGGTACGTAGAAAGTCGATGGCCTAATTTTCCGTCTCTGGAAGACTGTCGACACGGGGATCACTCTCCATGGCTTCCCCACCACAAGCACGATCAGATTCTTCCAGGTACATTACGACGACATCGTCTTCAGCGGCTGGCGCTCCCCATATTTGCGTGAGAATTTACTTGGCGTGCGCCCCGCTCCGTAATTTGAAATTCTCTTGCATCGGCGGCTGGAACGAAGTATTTATCTATCTGTCGTCGGTCCCAGAGTGAATGACCATGATGACTGCTAGGTCCTCGTCGGAGAAGTCATCCGAGGACGAAAGGAACTCACTGCACTGAGTACAGAGTGGTAGCACTGCATCCATGCAGCACTTGCTTGGCCGCGCGACGTGGACTACTGTCGATCTACTTCGATGTACACAATGTATGCACGCATCAATGCATGCAGTGAGCGTTGATTTTTCCGCTTTCGATGTTTTTTCAAAACGAAACCGGTCGCTACCCACCCACCCATAAACGAAACTTTTTCGTTTCGTGAAAAAGATCGATAATTACGGATGGCCCCTTAGGGTGTTATTATTATTATTAGGCCAAACTAAAGAAGGTGTGTGGTTCGACTCACCCGACCGACCGTACAATTTCAGCCCGACCGTAACTTTTTTTCGGCGGGCTGTCGTGTGACTGACGTACGTGGACTGAACACGTCCACGTCTACGTGCTGTGCGGCGTGAGTCTGCGGACGCAGGCGGCTCCTTTTGGACTTGACTTGTAGTTGTACTGCAGTGCAGTGCAGTGAGTGGTACGACTGCTGCCTTGTGCTGGTAGTAGAGTCTACTCGATACGCGTATACAGTGTATTTACATGTACTAAAAAATATATTAAAAAAAAAAAAATCCGCCCGCCCGCCCGTAAAAAAAATGTCCATGTTAGTCGAACCACACACCTTCTTTAGTTTGGCCTTATTATATTTATTTTACTAGGGTGTTTCCCACAGACCTATGGAAATCTGAATTTCCTGAAAGTCAAGACAATCTTATGATAGAGTCATGAAATTCTGAAACAGCAACATACCCAGAATGACCTGCGTATAAAAAAAAGTATCACCGCGTACCGCCACTACCCATATGATTCCCTGCAGAAGAACATGAATATGCAAGACTAGTGCCATTTTCTGCAAGAAAATGCTTGCACATTAATGCGTATAATACGGTATTGAATTTGATATGATGCACATGTACATGTAGAGGCGCTAGGCCATTATTTAGGGCATTCCATTGGTGACATAATTATTATCATAATATCAAGAGTGCATAAACATTTGTTTATGGACTCTTGATAATATCCTTAGCTAAAAAAAACAAAAGAAATTATAGCAATAAAAACTGCTTTATGGCAGTTTTCTAAAAAAAAGTTATTGTGTTCTAGTCCATGGGCCCCGTCTAAAAAGTAAGAAATTAACGAAATGTGATAGCCGAAAATTAAAATTTCACACAAAACCTCACAATAATCACAGCACTTGAGGATCTTAGTTTTAAAAAAATACTGCTTTCAACACTTGTTTAGTCTGACACTTCACGGGTGACTTTTACTGCGCCAACATGCATGAATAGGAAAGAGGACCCAGAGAGGAAAAGGTCTTCTCGCTTTTCATCCTGTGTGTGATTATTGTGAGGTTTTGTGTGAAATTTTAATTTTCGGCTATCACATTTCGTTAATTTCTTACTTTTTAGACGGGGCCCATGGACTAGAACACAATAACTTTTTTTTAGAAAACTGCCATAAAGCAGTTTTTATTGCTATATTCACAGGGTACTTGGGGCAAATAGTGGTACGGTCAATACCGTAGTGACCGTACGGTGTCCGACGCCCCTGGTAAGGCATCGGCTGTGCTAGACCCAAAGCACCGGGCAATCGTGTACCGTGGCTCTGTCCGCCCTGTGTAGAGTATGGCATGCTGGTGTGGATGAGCGCAGCCCCCATCACCCTGGT